TTAAGGACATTATAGCTGTATTGCACCACAGGGACAGCCAATGTGTTTATGGCTGATATTCCGTTTTTTCAGTTTAGCTCGGTATTTAGTACCAGATGTACACGCCTGTAGTACTCTTTTCTTATTTTTTCCTTCATTTGGGGGTGTTGTATGCCATCTCCTTCGCTAATTCCTAGGTACGTATAAGCTTCATCATGCTCCAGTTCCCTAATCTTTGGGACAAAATCTAAATCTATTAAGGATGTTTCTGTAATTCTACCTTTCTTGAATGTTACTTTTGCACATTTATCTAATCCGAAGTCCATACCTATGTCGTCACTGAAGAATTTTACAATATTGAGGAGGCCCTTCAACTCATTGTCGTCTTTGGCAAAGAGATTATTATTATTATTATTATTATTATTATTATTATTCGGCGGGCCTTGATTCAATCTGCTCATTTGCTTAGATACAGAAATGTTTTAAATATAACCTTTCTTGTGCCCTTTCTATATTGTAATATTTAGTATTTCAACTGGTTTTCTTTTCTCTCTGCAGATGACAAAGGAAGTTCTAGCGCCAGTGAAGATTTTATTGATCTCGATGCTTCTCCAAGTCATGTGCTTCACGAGGTGGTGGACGGATCAAAAGAATCGGAAATCGGTGACACCCACGACTCGATGCCCCTGCAAAGACCCAAGACAACAATCGAGGTTGACTCGGATGAAACGGATGACGTCATTCATTCCGGGTCTGGAGATGATTTAGACACCCTCGACCTTGAGAAGAACGGAGACAAAAGTAAGAGAATTAATTTGATTAAACTGTTTTTTGTGGGTTTTTTTTTAGGGGTGAGTTGTGGGGCGTAGGGGTACATATATATTTTTGTTCAGGAGATTTGAAGGAAGAATGGAAAGAGAGAAAGAAAACGACAAAGGAAGAAGAAAACAAGGAAGGAAAAAGAAAAATAGGAGAAGGGAAGTGCAAGAAAGTGGCGGGGATAAGGATGAATGAACGAAAGGAAAGAAAGAATTGTATAAGGGGGGATGAAGAAGACAATAATAGATAAACGAATGAAGAAGTGAAAGATGATGTAAGAAAGGGAAAGGGGGAAAAAGAAAAACAATGAACGATAAAACAGAAGATGAGAGAAAAAGCAAGAATTGGAAGGAAGGAAGGAAGGAAGGAAGGAAGGAAGGAAGGAAGGAAGGAAAAGGTAGAAGAAAAGGAAAATAGTTTTAAAAATAAGAAAAGAAAGAAAGAAAGAAAGAAAGAAAGAAAGAAAGAAAGAAAGAAAGGAAACGGCAGAAGGAAAGAAAGATGGTTTAAAAAAAAAGGAGGATAGCCAAAAAGGAAAGACAGAGGAAGGAAGGAAGGAAGGAAGGAAGGAAAAGGTAGAAGAAAAGGAAAATAGTTTTAAGAATAAGAAAGAAAAGAAAGAAAGAAAGAAAGAAAGAAAGAAAGAAAGGTAAAAATCATACACGGGGAAAAGTGAGTAAAGATAGAAACAGTAAATGAGGATTGGAGTAAGAATAGGAAGGAAGGAAGGAAGGAAAAAGTAAAAACCCATAGAAAATAGAACACGGGAAAAAGAACAGTCAAAGAAGGAAGGATCGAGGTTTAATAGAAAGGGAAAGGGCAAAGAAAAAGATGACTAAGGTTAAAAAGAGGAAATGAGAAAGAGAACAAGAATAGGAAGGAAGGAAGGAGGGGAGGAAGAATAAATGTGAAAAGAAAGGGAAGGAGCAAAGAAGGAAGGAAAGAGAGGAAGGGAGAAAGAAGGATAGAGGTCGAAGGAAAGAAGAAAAAGAGCAAAGGAGAAGGAAAAAGGTGAGTAAGGATATAAACAGTAAATAAGGAGGAGAGCAAGAAAAGGAAAGAAGGAAGGAAGGAAGGAACGAACGAACGAACGAACGAACGAAGAAAGATTCATAAAAGAAAAGGAAATTGAAGGAAAGATAGCAGTAAAAAGTGTCAAAAAAGAAGATGCGTGGTAGAACTAAAGAGGAAGAAATCCAAGATGTAGCGAGTTTGATGAATTCGGAACAAGGAAGGAAATAAGACAGGAATGAAGAAAGGAAAAAAAATGAAAGATGAAAAGAAAAGAAAGAAAGGTAAAATAATGGTTTTGGGGAGCTATTTAAAAGAAGAAAAAGTGGTTAAAAAGTGAAGAGATATATCGTCAAATACGGGAGGTAACTCCAAAAATAAAATTATGTACTTTCAAAAATAAAATTAGGTACCTCTAAAAAATAAAATTAGGTACCTCTAAAAAATAAAATTAGGTAGCTCCAAAAATAAAATTGGGTACCTCCCAAAATCCGCTAAAAAGAAAGATACACCGGAAAAATGTCCAAAACATAATAATATTAAAACTGTATCGTCAAAAACTTTGTGTCGTTAATAATAGGTAAGACCAAAAGATTTGTCCTGCTAAAAAATATTTTTTATTCTTTATAGAAATCTGGAAATTTTGGTTAAAATAAAACCTTTTTATCAAATCTGTATAAAAAAAATTGTGAGTTACTCCCTCACCTCATTCATTTAATTTTTATTAAATTTTTATAAATACTTTTTTTCCCATTGCATAATGTTTATAAATGTTATAGGGATAAGTCCTTGGAGAATTTAAATCATCAAACATTTTTAACCAAACAGGAACGCCAGTTACAGAAAATTGGCTCTGAATCATAAAATAAAAATGCAAAACTAAGACATTATTTAATTAGAAATGCTTTCAGATGTTTTTAGGAATAAAATATAGCGTGGACAATATTGCCTCAAGTAAAAAAACTTTCGATGAATAAATGAATTTTTCAATATTTTTTTTTCTTATTTTTAAAAAAATTTAATTAGAATGAATTAGAAACTTTTAAATATTTAAAAAAAATGTATTAGTCGTAACAGCCAAGTGATATTTTTATTAAATTAAAACAGTACTCAATAATCTTAAATGGAAAAGCTCAAATCAATGACTATCAGTATTTTCAAGTGTATTTTGAGATTTTTGTGTATGTGTGTATAAACATATCGATTTTTGTAAATACGGACATCCATACAGAATATTATCAGAACATAAGACGAGTATCTATAATATATTTATCACTTATCGGTAATTTTTCTCAAAAAGTAAGTATGCCCAAAGTACCTAAAACATTTCTCATTTTATTTCTCATTCTTTTTATTAGCAACTTTCATTCGCAAGGGCTGGTTCGACTTTTTCCCTTTTAATTGTTCTCGCTTTAGATTTTAGATATCTTGGCTAACTTTCTCACAGACGTGCTGTGGCTTCCCTCTGTCTTTTCTACAGATATTTTCATGGCAACTGCTCTGACGAGCTACTTTCACTGGTAACCAAAACTGCATGAATTTAAGCGTGCTACTAGGTCGGCATCTCAGCCCCACCTTTTCACTGTCGAAACAGTTAAATGTAGCCGTCTCTTCTACTCAAACAACTTCATAGCTTGCACTTCCCGACAGTGGAACTCCCTTCCTCTTACTTGCTTCCCTGATAGCTCTAATCTTCAAATATTCAAATATAATGTCAATCGACATCTTCTGGCGCCTTGATCTTGGTCCACGTCCTTCTCGATATCCTTTGCTTAAACGCGCCTCTGTCATTCTCTGTAAATCCTTGCGTGCTAATGACACACCCGCCTTGCTAAGGGCGATATGCTTAAAAAAAATAAAACATTTGTTTTGTTTTATTAATTTTACGGGATATCAACCTCAATGGGTTATTTAATGCCGACAGGATTTTTTAATATTGGTTCGTATAAATAGAGTATGTATTCTTTGGTTTATTTTGGTTTGGTTAATTTTGTTTTACGGTTTATCAACCTCAATGGGTTATTTAATGTCGACAAAATTTTTATTGCTGGTAATATGTTTTTCTTCAAAAGTCTATTTCAGGGAATATTTTGTATTGCTGGTATTTTTTTAAAGTATTGCTGATAATAATTTTTCATTAAAAAATTATTGCTGGTAATAATTTTTTATTACAAAGTATTTCTGGTATTAAAACCTACTTTTACACAAGTTTGGGTGTTAACTATTTTCCCATAGCTGGGACCCTAACTGGTGCTACAACCCCGGATCAAGGTGGACCTAGGAACACCAGCAATTAAGAGGTGGTTCCACGCTCCTCAAAGCCTCCTGATCAGAGGCCTTGCTGTTGGACGTAGTTTATCGTCTTACCCAGGACGCGGATGTAGTTTATCGGAGGACGAAAAAATAAAAAGATCACGTTTTCTTTTCTACGATTTCTATCTTTCTCTACATTTCTGCCACAAAGTTGTTTTGTGGTTTTTCAATTCCTGATGATTTTTAGTTAAGCCATTCCTTTTTTGCTTAACAGTATTGAATTTCTTTTTTTTTCCTGGTGCCTCAACTACTTGAATTTAAGCGTGCTACTAGATTGTCAACTCGGCTTTACTGTTGGCCTAGCAAAATCAACCGTCATTTCTACTCGCACTTCCCATCTGTGTAACTCCCTTCCGATTTCTTGCTTCCTTCATAACTACAATATTCAAAACTTTAAATGAAACGTCAATCGCCATCTTTTGTCTTTTTTGAAGCATGTTACTTTTTTCCCCTTTCCTCAATCCTCCCCATTTTCAGTCTTCTCATTCACTTTCACTCCTTGTACCCCCACTCTTCGTTCTAGTGGGACTGTCACCTTGCTTGGAGCGAAATGATTAAAACACAATTTTCTTGGCGTTTTCTAATGCCTCACTTTCGTTAAGTCGAGAATTTTACCTGCGTCTTATTATGCGATGAAAGCATAAATTATTTAAGCAACGAGTATATATATATATATATATATTGTTGTAACTTAGGAGAAGATTACTGAATAAGAATAACGAAAACGAAGGTTGGAAATGGAACGATAATATTTATAACGTGAACAGCATACAAGATTCGCCAGCGGCGCGCAGTAAGTAAACAACTGCTAGTAGTGAGATAGAAGTGCATCGTGGTGAAACCCAAGTGAAATCCCACAGTGAAGATATACACCTACCGCCCCACGCGGTCGGATGCGGCACAAGGCCAAGTTTATTGTAGGGAATCCGAGCCTGTAGGCTGGGGCAAAAATTCCCGTAGACCCCGTAAAAAACGGGGTCGGGTAGCTGTCTACCACCACAGACGAGACTCTGCCCTTCGGCAGAGCCTCGTTTGGTTTTCTCCCTGTCCGGAGACAGAGAGTTAGACAAGCACTCCGTGGAAGGCCGCAGTGAATCAACATACAGAATATTTCACTGTATTTATAAGGATTGGGACATATCCATTATAGTCAATAGGCATGGTATAACACACACATACACACACACACGCAGAGGGACATATATATATATATATATATATATATATATATATATATATATATATATATAAAGAAGAGGTTATAGTAGTTCCAACGAGAGAAAAGTGTGTATATTAAAAAGAAGAGAGAAACTGTAAACGTTTTTGGTTATAATGTGGATTTCTTTTTAAATATTATGTTTTATTTTCCATAATTTTGCTACACATGTTTCCGGTCTCACGACCTTCATCAGGCAAAGCATAGAGATTTCTACATCTTATCAACATAATTATTTTTTTTCTTTATGTGTTTCGATGTTAAATATTCTCGATATGAGACATTCTCTTTTTAGTGTTAGCAACCCAAATGTCTTTCTTGAAATGGCACTGAAAAGTTCTGCGTGAAGGGTTATAAAACAATTAAGATTGGTCCGAGAAATGGTGAAGGAGTTATCGGCATTCTCATCTTTTAATGACCCTTGTGTGTTCTTAGATTTGTTTCCTTTGCTTGTGTTTTTGCCAGCATGTGTGTATATATGTATATTCCCTCTCCATACAAATTATCGAAAATAAAGCATAATGTTTTTTTTTTAAATCCACATTACAACCAAAAAGGTTTTGGGTTTCTCTCTTCTTTTAAATATATATATATATATATATATATACTTGAAATATTCCACACCTGAAGATTGCAAGTTTTTCATGAAACTCCGAGTCGGGCTATCGACGTTGAATATTATGTATAATCACTAATATATACTTAAAAGCTGTTATTTAACATTGAGCGCTGTTTTTATAACACCTGAAAAAGAAATATATATGTACGTGCATGTATATGTGAACATACGTGTTATGATCCAGGTTAGGACCAAGGAAGAACAATCCGAACACAAAGAGTAGAAATAACGAAGGTATATTACACGAAATAATAATATAAGATGTGGTAGGTGTTAGTATGACTGTCAGTCTGGTTTGGAGTGAACTACTATCGGCTCGATTCGATTCGACCCTCTCTCTTGAGAGGCGTAGTCTACATAGTGTTAGGAAGAGTTCATTCTGTAGTTAGAGGTAAGGACCCATGACAATACGTATGTTTTTTATCACACCCATATATATATATATATATATATATATATATACATAAAGTTGCCATGCCCTGGTTGTAGCTTTGAGGGTTAGATCAGAGGATAAGTCAGTTGCTAGGACTTTTTCGTAGCTGTGAAGACTAGATCAGAGGTGAGATCAGTTGCGAGGCACTGGTCGTAATTGTGGGGACTACATCAGAGGAGAGTCAGTTGCCAGGCGCTGGTCATAGCTGTGAGAACTAGATCAGAGGTGAGATCAGTTGCGAGGCACTGGTCGTATTTGTGAGGACTACATCAGAGGAGAGATCAGTTGCCAGGCCCTGGTCGTAGCTGTGAGGACTAGACCAGAGGAGAGATCAGTTGCCATACCCTGGTCATAGCTCTGAGGGATAGATCAGAGCAGAGGTCAGTTGCTAGTTGTTCGTACCTGTGAGGACTAGATCAGAGGAGAGATCAGTTGCCAGGCATTGGTCGTAGCTGTGAGGACTAGATTAGAGGAGATATCAGTTGCCAGGCCCTGGTCGTATTTGTGAGGACTACATCAGAGGAGAGATCAGTTGCCAGGCCCTAGTCGTTGCTGTGAGGACTAGATCAGAGGAGAGATCAGTTGCCAGGCCCTGGTCGTATTTGTGAAGACTACATCAGAGGAGACTTCAGTTGCCAGACCCTGGTCGTTGCTGTGAGGACTAGATCAGAGGAGAGATCAGTTGCCAGGGCCTGGTCGTAGCTGTGAGGTCTACATCAGAGGAGACTTCAGTTGCCAGGCCCTGGTTGTAAGTGTGAGGACTAGATTAGAGGAAAGATCATTTGCCAGGCCCTTGTCATAAATGTGAGGGCTAGATCAGAGGAGAGATCAGTTGCCATCCCCTGGTCATAGCTGTGACGGTAAGGTCAGAGGAGAGATCAGCTGCCATCCTCTGGGCATTTTGCACCTCCAAATATCTAAATATCAGATGAACTCTCCTCTGACCTAATCCTCACAGCTATGATTAGGGCCTGACAACTAATCTGACTTAGACCTCACAACTCATATGAAAGAAAAACTGTTTATATACTGAGTGCATCAAAAATACTTTCACAAACTCTCGGTGCTGTTTCAACAAAACAAAGACAAAATTCCATATAAAAATATGTCCTCAAATGCTTCGTTTTTAAGTTATTAAGTTTAAAGTTAATAATAAGTCAGTCTGATAGGCTGTGCGAATTTTAATGACAATTAATCGTTGCTATTCGATTATTTTCATTTGTAAAAGATTTCTACGAAATTTCCCGTATATTCATGCCGATAAATGTAATTAATAATGTTTAACACAGAGCATTCATTTAAATAAACTATATCTATAAAAATAACGTATAAACGGACAATATATTAAAATAATTGTCGGAAAAAAGTCCTCCGACACGGAATCGTCATATAGCCTGACTATAATATATTGTCGTTTGTTTGCGTTAAGATAAGCTTCGGGCAGATATGAGCGTTCGAGGAAAATCAAGGGAAGTTTGTAGTTTAAAAACAGATATTTAACCTTGCTAAACAAACGCTTCCTCTGTAGCTAAATAGTATAGCACGTCAGGCAATATGGCTGTTCCGTATAGGATACAGGTTCGATTCCTAACGGAGGAAACATATTTTCTTTGAGATTTGTCGGACATTGAGGCCGGTAAATGTTGTTAATACTGTTTATTATAAATAGAACATTTACTTATGCATATATATATATATATATATATAGAGAGAGAGAGAGAGGGGGGGAGAAAGAAGGAGAGAGAGGGAGGCAGCATATTTTCAGTCAAGCATGTTTCATTAAATAATGTAATAATTCTTTCGAGTTATCTAATTAATACTAGGATAGATAGATAGATAGATAGATATGAACAGACTGAGATAGATAGATAGATAGATAGATAGATAGATAGATAGATAGATAGATAGATAGATATGAAAGAACAAAAATACAGAGAGAGACAAATATGTATAAACTGCTAGAAAGAGACAAATAGACTGAGATAAATAGATAGATAGACAGATTGTTCTTTTGTGTGCTTATTCCTTCTGCTTTTTATCCTCTTCGTAATGACGATAGTAAAAAAGAAAACTCGTCAATAAGGCCGTCTATTCAGCAAATTCGCGCGTTGGTTGGAGCGAAGATAAAACACAGACGTCCGTGTATAGATAACCACACGAGATTTGCAAGGAAACGAGAATCTCTTGACTGGCACCATCACCAGCGCCACCATCTTTTTTCCTCTTCAGTCATTATCAAAGTTGTGATAAATACAGATATTGCGTGTAAAGTAATTTTCTTGTCATTATTTTTGCCTTTACAAAATTTTACATCAACAGCGACTTTATTATCAGAGGATTTTTATCTCATTATTTATGGAACTATATTTCTACCTTGATTAATTCTAAACATTACGTTTCATGCAGATTTTACAATCTGTCCTAAAAACAATTATTATTATTATTATTGTCGTCATCGTCGTCGTCGACCTTCTTTTTCTCCTCCTCCCCCTCCGCCTCCTTCTTCTCCCCCTCCTCCTCCTTCTTCTCCCCCTCCCCTCCTTCTTCACCTCCTCCTCCACGTTCAACTTCTTCTCCTCCTCCTCCTTCTTCATCCTCCTTCTTCTCTTTCTGCTACTACTACTTCTTCACATCCTCCTCCTCCTCCTACTACTACTACTTCTTCTCCTCCTCCTCCTCCTCCATCTTCTTCTTCTTCTCCTCCTCCTCCTACCCCCCTCATTATTATTATTATTATCTTTGTCGTCATTGTCGTCGACCTTCTTCTTTATTTTCTTCTCCTCCTCCTCCTTCTTCTTCACCTCTTCATCCTCCTTTCTCTCTTTCTAATACTATTACTTCTTCTTCAGATCCTCCTCCTTCTACTTCTTCTTCACCTCTTCATCCTCCTCCTTCTATTTCTACTACTACTACTACTACTTTTACGCCCTCCTCCTCCTCCTCCTCCTCTTCTTTATTTAGTTACCATGTATGTTACGCCCCGTGATAGCTTGCCTGTTTCCAGATTCCCAATCATTGATATGGCAGCAGCAGACAGAGTAAATCTTTAACTTCCGGTTACACTTATTCTGAGGTGGGTTGAAGCTGTATATATATATATATATATATATATATATATATATATATATATATATATATATATATGCTTATATTAATATGAAAAAAAAGACGTAAACAGTGAAATGGAAAGATTATATTGAACCCGATGCAATAGTTCTGCTAGAAGAAAAGTTGGTTTACTGTGTCATGTTAGGCAATTATTTCTCACCAGAATCAATCTCACACATTTACATTGAATATGGCTGTCATATGTGGTACTTCTACAATGTATTTAGAGATCCATGATAAAATCCAAAGAAGAATCTGCAATGTTATTGGCCCTGACCTGTCATCTCGGCTTCAGTCACATTTCCCAACACCTTAACGTATCAACATTTCTGTTTTCCACTACTGTCACATCTGGTTTGGTTCTTTTGCTATGTATTTAGAAATTGTTGATAAAATCCAAAGAAGAATCTGCAATGTTATTGGTCCTGACCTGGCATTTAGGCTTGTCATTTTCCCCACACTAGTAATGTAGCTTCCCTGTGCCTTTTCTATAAATATTTTCATGGTAATTATTCCAATGAGCTTTCCTCAGACTTTATGAATTTAAGCGCAGTACTAATTTTTTTTTTTTTTGGTCTCATCATTTTACAGTTTAAATGGTAAGGTGTAACTGTAAGTTCTATGTCAACAGTTTCTTCTCTTGCACATCTTGCTTGAAGAAAATTAAATTAAAAATGTTAAATTTAACTCATCTCGAATCGTTATCTAACTTAACTTTTTCTTTTAATGAGCAAAAATACAAGTTACAACATACCTACATACTTACATACATACCGGGTGTAACAGCAAAATTGTCCAAATCGTGTAACACCACGGGATAATTGTCCATCCCACCAAATTTTTAATATCTAAAAAAAAACAAAAAACCACTAATGTAATTGAGTTTCTTTTTTCCAGGTTTTTTCAGGTTTTTAGATAAGACGTTTAGCCATCTGGACACCATTTGTTGGAAGAATCACTAAAAAAACCTTTGAGTTACTAAGCTAGAAAAAGAACAGGTTAAAATCGTTTTCTGTCAGCCCCACTATGTCTGCCCAACTGAGCAATGGTAAGAGGAAAAAGATCATTCAGGCCTTCAGTAATGGTATCAACATTCATACTCTGGCTTCCATCTTTAAAGTCCAATCAAGAACCACTAAGAGAACGGCGAATAAGTTTAAAGAAAGAAAGAAAGAAGGAATGAATGAATGAAAGAAAAAAGAAAAGAAAGAAAGAAAGAAAGAAAGAAAGAAAAGAAAGAAAGAAAGAAAGAAAGAGAAAGAAAGAAAGAAAATAAGAAAGAACGACCATTAGAAGAAACTGACCAAAGAAAGAAAGAAAGAAAGAAAGAAAAAGAAAGAAAGAAAGAAAGAAAGAAAGAAAGAAAGAAAGAAAGAAAAAAAGAAAGAAAGAAAAAGAAAGAAAGTAAATAAGAAAGAACGATCATTAGAAGAAACTGATGCAAAGAAAGAAAGAAAGAAAGGAAGAAGGAATGAATGAAAGAAAAAAGGAAAGAAAGAAAAAGAAAGAAAGAAAGAAAACAAGAAAGAACGATCATTAGAAGAAACTGATGCAAAGAAAGAAAGAAAGGTCATTAGAATAGATTAATGCAAAGAAAGAAAGAAAGAAAGAAAGAAAGAAAGAAAGAAAAAATAAAGAAAGAAAGAAAGAAAGAAAGAATCGATAACGTCCTGATGTGTCAACCGCCTGCTTTATTGCAATGGTATAGCAAATATAAAATACAGTAGACCGAAATGATTAGTTACAGTAATAAAAAAAAAAAAATAGCAAAAATCGTAGAATTTACACGGTTCTTACTCTACATGTTGCCATAAAAGTCTATTTGAAAATTCTGAGACATTAAAACATACCTTGATTTTCGCTACCGATTTTATACAAATGACCTGATGCAAATAGCTAAGTGTTTAAAGTTTATATTAGCCGTCAATCGACGAACCTGCGCGCGCAATTCAAATTCACAATTGTACAAGACTCCAATGTGAAAATTAAAATGAAAAAATACCGAGGAATACTGCAAAAAATACTGCCAGTTTATTTCTATTCCGTGATTTGGGTTAATTATAGAATACTTGGTAATCTATCATAAAACCTTTATCATTATTGGGCGATAAAGAAAGTGACACTTGGGAAGAAATATCTTTCTTTCTATGTGCCGTGTCGTTTCAGGACGTAGGCGATCATGGCTCTCCACTTCGTCCCTATCCCTTGCAGCTCTCAACGTTCCTTCCGTCTGCCACCTCCTCCAAACTACGTTCTGTCATCCACTTGCTTAAGGCCGCTAGGTATGTTTTCCTATGTCTCTCTCTCCCTCTATTCGACCCGTGAGTATCAGGTTCTCCAGGCCCTCCTTCCTCATTATGTGTCCCCAAAATTTCAGCTGCCTCTTCCTGATGTTAAGTATAAGCCCCCTCCTTGTTTGCATCCTCTCTAAGACCTCATCGTTGCTCACACGCTCGGTCCATGATATCCTTAGCATCCTTCTGTAGAACCACATCTCCTTCGCCTCGAGTCTCTTCTTCATCTTTGAGGAAATCATCCAGCATTCGCTGCCGTAAAAAAGGACAGATGTCACGTAACAGCTCAATACCCTTTTCTTTGTTACCAAAGAAATTCTCCTGTCTCGCAATACTCTGTTCAGCTTTTGGAATGCGTCCTTGGCCATCCTAACCCGTCTACGGATCTCAGTGTCACATTTACCGTCCGCTGTCTGAACACTTCCCAGATATCTAAACTTCCCCGTCTGCTTGATTCTAGTGTTCCCGACCTGCAAATCGCATTTCGGTCTCATCCTTTTACTGATGGCCATGCATTCCGTCTTCTTGTAGTTTAGGCTTAGTCCCTTCTTCACACTCTCCGTTGCTATCTTCTGTAAGAGATTTTGTAATTTCCTTTCCGTGTCTGCTATCAGTACTGAGTCATCTGCGTATCTTAATAATAAGGGTATACCGGGTAAATTCGTCAAATCCATCATCATCATCATCATTATTATTATTATTATTTCCTTTGATTTCTGGCGTTTACACATTTCTTTCCGGGTCCCGCCCAGAAACCTAAGGTTAGAAATGGCATCATCACTGACGAAAAAAAAAATACATAGATAAAGCCCTTCGTAAAGTGTGGGCTGTACTTGTGAGAACAATTTTTCGTATTTCTTTGAGGCATGGACTTCCAGGAATCCCTTCAATTAGTCTAGTGGAATCTTTTCCAACTAGTCCTAGGGTTCCAACTACAACAGGGATTGTTGATGTTCCCATATGCCACATTTTCGAGATTTCTATTTCAAGGTCCTTTGTATTTTGACAGCTTTTTGAATATCTTCAAAGATACATTGCAGTCTGCATGAACTGCTATTTTATTATTATCATTATTATTTATACTATCATTATTATTATTATCATCATCATTAATATTATTATTATTATTATTATTAAGGCAATACTTAGAGAAAAGAAAAAACACGTCAGTGGATTCCGGGCCGTTCAGACTTTAAAACGCCTTGAGATAATTAGATATACAAATTACTAATTTCCCTCCCCCGTCAAGGAACAAAATTTCAGGAGAGTTCCATAAGATTTATACTAGGCTGTTTAATTAATTACTCTTGTTGTTTGACAACATTATTGACATTTTTAGGACTGTTCTTTACTGTCATGTTCACGACGTTTCGGCCGATGTACGCTTCGGCCTGCTTCAGGTGATTGGAATTTCGAACTGAACCCTTTATTTTGTCCACCGGGGTGGATGGTTCTCTGTTCCACGCGCCATGCCTCTTCCAGATGTCTCAGTTATCGCCCTTTAACTGAACTCTCCAAGTTTTTTGTTCACTGCTGCAGAAGCCAGGTATTGAACTCACGACTGTTTGGGTCAAGTCATTAGATTCAACCAACGCTTTTATCCACTGGGCCATGCATCTTTATACTCTTGATAACTAATCAACTGATGGAAAATCTCAAAATGAGCACGCTCCCCATCAACTTACTCACGTTTCAGTTGCATTCAATTCACACTGATTGCGTTTCTTTCGTTTTGTCGCGTTGATTACCTGTACAACCGTTTTTTTTTTCTCAAGAAAAGTAACGTTTGTACAAATACTTGTATTTTTTTTTTTACATTTTTTATACTTGTATCCAATTTTTAAACATAACCTGAACGAGCAGACAGTTTGATTTGTTTTGTTTTACGGCATATCAACCTCAATGAGTTATTTAATGTCGACAAAATTTTTATTGATGCTAATATTTTGTTTTGTCAAAAATCTATTTCTGGTAATAATTTTTCCTTCAAAAATGTATTGCCGATAATAATTTTTTTCAAAAAATGTATTGCTGGTAATAATTTTTTTTAAAAACGTATTGTTAGTAATAGTTTTTTTTCTTCAAAAATTTATTGCTGATAATAATATTTTACAAAGTATTTCTGATATTAAAACCTATTTTTACACTTTCATAGTGTTTTTACCCCAGTTTGGGGGTTAACTATTTTCCCATAGCTGGGACCCTAACAAGTGCTACAAAACCCGGGTCAGGGTGAACCTGGGAACACCAGCAATTAAGAGATAGTTCCACGCTTCTCAAACTTCGTGATCAGAGACCTTGCTGCTGGACGTAGTTTATCATCATACCCAGGACGGCTACTCGAAGTAGAGGTTTACATGTAATAAGCACAGTTTGCAAGGAAATACTTCTCCGATAACGGTTAACCCAAGAGATGAACAGATTAAGATTGTAGTGATCGGGGAAGCATCCCCTTGGGAGTCGGTTCATGGGAAGAAGCTGTTCGGGTGAAACTTATATCTCACCAGTGGAATACGAAATGAATGAAGGTAGTTCGTGACAATGGGTGTGGCACTGTTGGGGGTTCAAGCCGTGAAGGTTAGAAATGGTGGAACTAAGGAATGTAAGCAGCGAGAGACTTGCGACATTTCGTCTGTGGGGAAAGGATTGTAGGGAGGAAAAGAATTCATCACCCACAAGGACGCGGCAATGTTTTCAATCTTTATGAAGACCGGAAAGTGTGTAGCTTCTGCCTGTATATAAACCTATACTCCTGTTCAAAAGACAGGGGAGAATTGTGAACCAGATAGATAGATAGATAGATAGATAGATAGATAGATAGATAGATAGATAGATAGATAGATAGATATGAACAGACTGAGATAGATAGATAGATAGATAGATAGATAGATAGATATTAAAAAAAAACTTAGATATATTGATAGGTATGTATTGACTGAGATAGATAGATAGATAGATAGATAGATAGATAGATAGATAGATAGACGAACGGGAAGATAATGATCAGATTGAGATAGCTAGACAAGCACATAGATAGATAGATAGATAGATAGATAAATAGATAGATAGATAGATAGATAGATAGATAGATGATGAACGGTGTAAAAGAGACAGACAGACAGACAGACGGAGAGATAATGATCAGATTGACATAGATAGACAGGCATATAGATAGATAGATAGATAGATAGATAGACAGACAGATCATGAAAGAACTGAAGAAGCTAGATGCACAGATATATACATACTTAACAGTACACACACACACACACACACACACACACATATATATATATATATATATATATATATATATATATATATATATATATATATATATATATATATGATTGCGATAGATACATATATTTACGACTGAATGGTGAGTTCGATCCTCGCATGATGCTTCGTACTTCCGGCCATGCGCACATTTAAGCTTCGCTGAGTAAATTGCTCCACGATAGAATGCATGACTGATTTTTACAGAGAAAGTCTAATAAGCTTTCTTAATTTCTTTGAAATTTATTCGTTGAATTTGTTGCTTGCGTCTTCTTTTGCTTCTTGTCAAAGATGGCGTCGAGGTTAGACAATAGTGTTTGTTTAGTTGTCATATTTATGGTTTTTTTTTTGTTTGTTTGTTTTATTTTGTTTTTTTTTACGGACAAACTTTTGTTACATCAATCAAAGTGCTAATTAGGAGAACATTTTTCATTGGGTTTCTTTCCGGATTTATTTATATTCACCCCTCCCCCCAGCCCGCTCGCCTTCACACTTCAACTTAAAGGAAACAAATTAGTGAAACACATTTCGATTTCGTTATTTATTGTTTGACCAGAAATCGAATCTATATATTGTTGTTTGTCTATTCGCATTATTTTCTTTCTTTTTTTTTTTCCTTTTCCTGTATTCGTTGCCTGGCGTATAATAAGGCCTTAATTGAAATCAAGTTTTATGGAAAACGAATCTGGGTCCAATTAGTAATGTCTCCGGCAAGAGAAACAGTTAGTTAAATTTCACTTCAACTTTACACTTACACTATTGTTACGTACTTTGCTTGGACTAGTCTGGCACAATGCCAGTTTGTTGAGAGCATCCACGATTATCAATCTCATTAATGGATACCCTTAAGAAAGGTGTGAATCCTCTTCTCCACCCCTCAGCTATGGATAAATAGCAGGACAGACTGAGTTCTATAGCCTTGGATGGCAACTGGTCTACCGCAGAAAGAAATGGCAACCTACTGCGGGAAAAAACATCTGCCTCGTCAATCATGTATCGAAAGATACATGATCGCCTAAGCGTGTATCACGCATGGCACATAACTGACTTAGGAGGAACGATGGATTGAGGAATCTATTTGAATCGATTACATTCACACGTGTCAATAACCTTGGGAAAGGTATGAATAATCTTCTTCTCCCCACCACCAAGCTATGGGTAAATAGCAGGACAGACTGGGTTCTATAGCCTTGGATGGCAACTGGACTAGCGCAGAAAAAAATGGCAACCTACGGCGGAAAAAAGATCTGCCTCGTCAGCCATGTATCGAAAGATACATGATCACCTAAGCGTGTATAACTGAGTTAGGAGGCATGGTGGAGTAATGGATAGCGGCTCGGATTGAGGAATCCATTAGAATCCATTACATTCACATAAGTCGATGTAATGGATTTCTCGAATATTCAGGCCGGTAGATGTAAATAAATAAATAAAAACAGATCGTCTACTCAAATATGGGCATCCATTAAAAATAACGTTTAAACAAATAAATTAAAAATATGACGGATTTAATCCATTTCCTAATATATGTGTGTGTGTGTGTCTGTGTGTGTATGAGTCGTTGCTATAAGGTCATCTAAGCCCGTATGAGGGCAAAGATGAGACATAGCCAATAAGAATCGTTTTCAGGTGATGCAACCACAAAAGGTTGGCGATTCTTGTAATGAAATCATTAACGTCCGCTTTATTTCAAATTTAGCCCAGTTAAAAAAAACAAACAAACAAAAGCTATTTAGCATCAGACACCGACGAAGGAGCCTGTAGCAGTCGAAACCGTTGTAACTTCCCAAAAACATTTATTCTGCACCCACATGTCTACTAAATAAAAAAGATAGAAATAAAAACATATGCAAAAAATATCATTGTCAGCACTATAATGGACTCTCCTGTCGGTTTCAACGTATGAGGATCTGATAGTTTAATTGATTCAGTTATGAAATTTTGTGCGATAATCTTAAGAGGCACTTAAGACCCGCTAGTGATTTACAAATGAGGCCGCATATGGACCAAGAGTGAGAATTGTGGGATGAGATCATTGTTAGATTGGCTGACCTTTTAGATCTTTCATCAATATATATATATATATATATATAATACTAATAATCTTATAAATATAAGCAGCTATACTCGTCCGGCAAAACCTTAGGTGTTTTAGCTTGTAAAGGAGCAAACCAATATCCAAAAGGAAAAAAAAGAGAAAAAAAAGAAAGAACTAAGAACATGTACTTCCGGCGAATTTCAGAGTCCAACGAAAAAGACTTCCGACACGAGTAAAGTACAAATAACTAAGCAAAGTGCTCAATACGCTAAGTAGAGCAAACTAAGTAAACCTAAAGAACCAGACTAACCTACCTAGGTTTCATCTACGCGGATCGTCAGGGTAATTATATATATATATATGTGTGTGTGTGTGTGTGTGTGTGTGTGTGTGTGTGTGTGTGTGTGTGTGAGTGTGTGAAAAGCTTTTGTGACGCATATTATCATTAGGATTTTATTGGACTGGGCATTTTTGATATTGCCATGTCTACACATGCGCATGAAACGAGAGACGCTGGTAGTTTCAACATTTAGAAAAAAAAAAAGTTTTTATAGAATATTTTTTCAATCTAGCCAAATTCATCTTTATTCTTTTTCTTTTTCTCTCCATCATCTTTGTCGCTGACCATCCAACATTGTGACAACAGAAAAATCTACCAAGAATGGCGATAAGAGCCTGGACGCATATTTGCCATGGCTGAACTCGCAATCAAGGCACTTTCCCCGTCTTAACGGATTATTTTCTCAAAGTGGAATTCCTTATATCAAACTGCCATCAGTTTCATTATGGTGAACAACCAATGCGTTTTGTGTATCGTTTTTTGTTGTTGTTTTTAAATGCCTCTTTTGTGGTCATATAGTCTCTTGCTTAAAATTCTTGAGGTTTCTCCTATGTATTTATTCTGGCAATTTCTGCACTTGATAGAGTAAATCCCTCCTTCAAGTTTTTGCTTGTTGTTTTGTTTTGTTGTTTTTTTATTAAGTCTTTGATTGTTTTAGATGTAGTTGTGACAAATGTTGAGTTTTATATATGTTGAATTTATGTTGAGTTTAAATAAATTCTTTTCGGTTGTAGTTGTGATAGAGTCATGGGTAAAATAATATTTTTTGATTAGTTGGGTTTGTCAGGAATATTTTATGATTTTTTTTGTTTCGCATTGAATATGAAATAGTTAGGGTATTGGAGTGTCTTGAGATGATTTTCAGTATATTTCTCCTCTTCGTGTAAATATTGTGGGCTGCAAATTCTGAGTGCTCTTAAATAGAATCTAATGATCATTCCGAACTTTATTTTGTTGTTATGATGGGAATAGGAGTTTATGAGGTCATTTTTATTGCTTAATTTTCAGTGGACACTAAGTTTTATGCTACTGCCATCTCGGTGTAACATGATTTCTAACAAAGGTAAAATATTGTTTTTTTTTCTATTTCGTATGTAATTTAATTGTGTGTTTGACATTGCGTGGTTTATCTACAAGATCCGGTAAGCTAGTCTAGTATCACGAGGATAAATTAATAGAGCATCATCAGTATATCGAAAGTAAGTTGACTGTTTAGGTAAAATGTTTTGGAAAGAAAATACATGCCATCATTCTACTGAGAGGGGATCCCATTGAATTCATTATATATGATAATATATGATAATATAATCCATTATATATTATTATATTACATCCATTTCATATATATATATATATATATATATATATATATATATATATATATATATATATATATATTGGTAATTGGTATATACGGAATTTCAATAACCAACAATTACTATTCTTAAAAGAGTGCTCAATACAAAGTTGAGCAGATATAATTATTTTTATAAAAAAATTATAAAATCATAAGTATTTGTTTCAAATCACTTATCAAAAATAGTTATTTTTTTTTTCAACATCATCTCTGATAAGACACAGAGTGTGTGAAACAAAATGGCTTATTTTTAGTGATTTTATAACATACTTATGTTATAATTTTTTTTTAAAAAATAATTATATATATATATGTGTGTGTGTGTGCGCGCGCGTGCGTGTGTGTGTGTGTGTGTGTATGTTTGTGTGTGTATAAAAAGGCTAAAAATAATGGAAGTCTTATTAATAAAAAAAAAACAACACTCAGTAATATCAACTATGAACATGGACACAATATCTTGACCGAGTTTTGAAAATGAAAACATTATATAATACTAAATACATACATACAACAATCTATTTCCAGTTCACAGTTAATATATTACATCCTTGAAAATGGCTAAATGTATAGTCGAAAGCGCTTGGAAAAATATAACATTTGGACAGTTTTTGTATAATTTATCTACTGAAAAGAAAATTTATAAGATCACATGAGAAATTATATATAAAAAAAACCTTGTCTGTCATATTTAATGAAGCTTGCATGAAAGAAGGATTGCTGCCTAAATACACAATATATATATATATATATATATATATATATATATATATAAATTAAGATCTATTGAATATAAAAAATGTATATATATATATATATATATAAGCAGTTTTTTAAAAGAAAACAGACGGATAGAAGATGTGTGAACGCGTGTGCATACGTATATACGTGTGTGCGAGAAAACATTATTCGGTGAACAAAATAGACGAAAGGTCTGTGCGTTGACACCGCAACTGACGAAAGATGTTCGCTACACAATCCAACATTGAATACAGCGACCAAATGTGTATGTATGTACGCAACAACACATGGATGAGCATATACGCCCAGTCCCCCAATGTCCATATATGTTTATGTTTGTGTGAGCTCCAGTGAGTGAGCGTACGTGTATGTATGTCTGCGTACTTCAATGAGTGTACATGCGTGTATGTCTGTCTGCGTACCTATGAGTGGCTTTCCGACGACAATTTTTCCTCC